CTAACTGAGAAAAATAATGAAAACAAGAGAACCTAAACATGTCCAGAAATGACAAACATAATAATAAGATAATAAATAATAATGATAGACTATTTTAAAATTAATTTGGGGGCACCTGGGTGGCTCAGTCATTTAAGCATCCAACTCTTGATTTTGGCTCAGGTTACGATCTCAGATTGTGAGATCAAGCCCGGAGTCAGGCTCCACACTCCTCTACTCTCCCTGCTTGTTCTCGGTCATGCACATGCTCGTGTGCTCTCTCTCTCAAAATAAATAAATAAATTCTTTAAAACCATTTTGAATTCATGTATGGTATAAAGTACCAAATATTGGTTTTTCAAAAATCTGACCTTGAATAATTGGAACCCCTCATGTACTCTTGCTCAATGTATCCATTTGTATATCTTATATAAGGGGCCAGAGCATATAGTTAGGAAGTTTCTGCCTTGCACCAAGCTGAGAGGATAAATGAGAACTTAAGTCCATTCCAAGTGTTGGACATGCTGCTGTGTTTCCTGATACCAGTATGTTCTTCCCCACCCCACCCTCCATCCCCAAGGAGTGTCTTCTGGTTTGAACAAAGACACTGTCTACAAATCAAGCCAGGGCCATGGTGTTTTTTCCACTGGAGGGAGTGCCATTCTCTAATTGCCATATAGGCTAGGAGGAACATTGTTAATATTATCATATAGAATAGCAGTGGCCGTCTAAACTTGCAGTGACCTTGTTTATATCCTAGTAAATATAGTATTTGACCCTTCCAAGATATTGCTGAGGGCAGATTTAATTTGATGGGTTCTGATGAGCCAAAATTTTAATAAGATGCAGTGGATGATGGGGTAATAATTGATGGTGGTTTTCTAAAAATGCTGGGTTCTTTCTAACTGAAGGTTATGGTCACTTACAACTTTTGGAACCCAAGGATATGGCTCTTTGGAAACTTCTTGAAAAATAGTGCCCCATGTTTGAAAAGAAATGAAAAAGAATTATCTTCCATAAAGGGAATAATAAGACTCCTAGAAATCACAGTCGTCAGCTTAACTTTGATTACTGATGAAAAGAGTGGTGCATATCAGTAATTATTTTGCAAGCCTGAGTGCATCCATATTTCAATATGTATCAGTAACATTGTATAACTATTTTTAAAACACAGTATCAGAATCTAAATATAGAAGTATTACATAAACTTGAAGGAAATCCTCTTTCTATAACCAGCATTGTTAATCGACCACTGGAAGAGTAGAGCAGACCTAACAACATAATGCAGTTGTGCAGAAGTAAGAAAGACCTGGAAAAGTCAAAGTAATTCCACCAAGACTGCTTCTCTGACTACCTACTTTTAGATGGTCGCACATTTGGTTTGATTTGGGTGACTTTCGGGACCATAACAAAGGTTTTCCTGCTCACCTCTTCCTTAATACTTCTTTTATTTGCTTGATAATGATGGTTTAAGATGGTTTAAGATTCATATTCACTTTGCCAGGGGGAAGAATATAAGGAACCCCAGAAGGTGGGGAGATGCAGTGTAACGGGAAAAGGGTACAGATGGTTTAGGTTGCAATTTCCCATGAAACTGACTACTCCAGAGATCAAGATAACTTTATGTAACTAGTTCTGGGTAAGGAGTGGTATTTTAATCTAGAGATGAGTGGGGACCTGGTTGGATTTCTACTTCCATCCCTAACTAGCCATGTTTATTTAGACAAACCATTAGCCTCTCCAAGCTCCAATTTCTCCCTTAATAAATATTTAGGTGCCTAATATATGTCAGGCATTGTTTTAAATGAAATCATGATGATAATAATACCCATCTTACAGGATTGTTATGAGAAATAAATGGGGGTATTCTTAAAAAGTGCTTGCTATGTGCCTGGCAGAGAAAGAAAGAAATCCTAATCCATCAGGGTTAAGTAATAAGAACGATCTCTTAAATCTGCACAGTTTACAAAGCACTTTCACAAAGCACCATTGTTTCCTTAGGCAACCCTGGAGGTACAAGTAGCCAGATATTTAGTACCCCATTTTGCAGATGAAGAAACTGAGTGAAGCTTGGCACAATTCACCTGCTTGGTTACGCTTCCTTCTGAAGAGGATGCTGGCTAAAATACGTGTAAGTTGGTCAAATACTCTGTACTTATTGCTTATCTTTATTTTAAAAAAAGGTTTTATTTATTTATTTGTCAGAGACAGAGAGAGAAAGCACAAGCAGGGGAGCAGCAGGCAGAGGGAGAAGCAGGCTCCCAGCTGAGCAAGAAGCAGGCTCCCCGCTGATGTGGGACTCGATCCCAGGGCCTTGGGATCGTGACCTGAGCCAAAGGCAGATGCTTAACTGATTGAACCACCCAGGTGCCTGAAAGAGATGCTTTTTTTTTTTTTTTTAAAGATTTTTATTTATTTATTTGACAGAGATCACAAGTAGGCAGAGAGGCAGGCAGAGAGACAGTGGGGGGAAGCAGGCTCCCCACTGAGCAGAGAGCTCGGCGCAGGGCTCCATCCCAGGACCCTGGGTTCCCAGGACCCTGAGATCATGACCTGAGCCGAAGGCAGAGGCCCAACCCACTGAGCCACCCAGGCATCCCTGAAAGAGATGCTTTTAAGAAAAGTATGGATAGGCCAAATTCTTGTACGTATTGACAAAAGTGTAGAAAAAATTACCTGACACGAAGAAGAAGATGTTGGACAATTTAATCCTTAATAGGTCATGGTATTGCTGCTTTTCATCGCCGTATGTAAGTATTGAAAAATTTGAGGAAGGAAAAGATTTAGACCAGAAGTAAAAAAAAAAAATATGAGCTTAGCAAAGTTTCTTAAATTTCGAAAAAGCCCATCAATACAGGATTTATAATCTCTTCCACTAGATGTGCTTACTTTTTTTTGGTTTGTTTTAGTATTTTAAAAAAATTATTTATTTAAATTCAATTTAGTTAACATATACTGTATTGTTAATTCCAGGGGTAGAATTTAGTGATTTCTCAGTTGCATATCACACCCAGGGCATCACACCCAGGGCTCATCACATCATGTGCCCTCTTTAATGCCCATCACCCAATCCCCCCACCCCACTTCCCTCCAGCAAACCTCAGCTTGTTTCCTAGAGTCTCTTGCACTCAGTATTCTTGAATGGTCATATAAATTGGAATCCTTTTCAGAGGTGGAAAACCGAACCAGGAAGTACCTTGAGATGACATCTTCCAAATATCATTCTATGATTCAGCAAACATTTAGATGGCTTAATGGTAGGAGAGGAAAGTTCTACTACTACATTTGTTATAATCATTTTCGACCAAACAAATATTTGCTTTAAAGCAGCAAAAATTAAATGAATATATTTCAAACATTCCCATTGGATGCTGAGACTCTGTCCCACCCCCTAGTGAGCAAAAGCTTTTCTATTGGCCAGACTTTCCCAGGACTTTCATTGGCTGCTTGAGAGAAGCACCTGTCAATATGCTGAGACAGTAGGTCCCTCTAAAGGAATTTCAATTATTTGCAAGCAGAGAGACTTCAGGAATAAGACTCACCCATAAATAAATAGGTTATTGAAACCATGCATGACTTCTACAAGCCTTAAAATTTTGGTTCAAGTTAAAACCTTCCACAATGATATGAAAATCTGAGCTCAGGTACAATGGTGTGTAACCTCGGTGAATTCTTATTTTGAAATTTAATAAAATACCATATGCACTTGTCCAATTGGTGTGCATATGGGAAAGTGCTCATTCAACCCCGAAAGGATGGCCTTTTGGGAGATAAGAAACAAAAATAAATTATCTGACTAAGGCTAGGACTAAGTCTGGGGAGAAACTTGAGTGAGCAGGGATACAATTGCCTTCTATCCTGTGGATATTATCATGGACACTGAATTTATAGAAAGTGTTGAGTTCTTTTAATGATCTTCTGTGATCAGGAAATCATTTTCTTCTCTTTGGCTCAATTGATCTTTAGCTACATCATGACATTATGGGAAACATTATGGGAAAGCAAATGAATTTGGATTCTTGAAAAAGTCACTGTCATAAAAAAATGAAGACACTTTTCTAGAATAAAGTACACTACATAAAAATAAGAAAGAAATGCAATATTTGCATCCTGGTTATTAGCCAAACAACTATAACTTTTCTCTGTGTTTGAAAGCTTTAAAAATAAAAAAGTTGAGGGGAAAGGCAATAAAATTCAGCCCCATCTCTTAAAAAAAACAAAAAAACCCCTGGGATTATGTTTTGGTGGTAAATCAGAGGGAATCACCGTAAAATGTGTCCTATAAGAAGCAGGATTACAGCTTTGCATATATTTGGTAAAATGTTGGGTGCAGTGCCTTATGGGAGCTTAAATACTATTTTCTTAAGGACTGAAATTTAACATAGAGAAACATACAAGGGAAGAGGAATGCAGCTCCTTCCTATGAAACACGTTCATCAGCCTGATGCTTTAAGCACAATTTCTTTGGAGGTCATAAATGTTGTCTTCATTCATGGGTAACCAGAGGCTTGAGTCACCAAAATAAATCTTCAGGGTTCAGCACACAGAGTTTGCTATTGAGTAGTGTGACATATGACACCCTCTGCCCTTTAGCTACTGATGTGTCTCTGGCTTTTCCAAGCCAAAAGCAGAACCTGGGATTAGAGCAACATATATTTAAGGGTGTGTTTTGCAGATGCTGGTTGGGACATGAAGCCAAAGGGAGGAGTGATTAAATGCTGAGAACAAAGTGGAAACTTCGCTGGGGAAAACGTTTCTGGGAGAAGAAATTCAAGTAAACTTGAAGGCATAAGCTCATCAATTTTATCACAGAGTGGGTCCACAGGGGGTGCGTGTGTGGGGATATCTCACAGAAGGACAGGGACAAGGACCTCTCTGCGGTTCTTTGGAGGAGAGGACCTGAAGGTGTCTTGGGGGTGGGGAAGCTCTTGGAAGGTGAGGATTTCTTCCGGACTTCAGGGAGAAATGATGAAACCAAAGGGAAAAATTCAAAGCAGGTTAATGAATTCATTCCGGTATTCCTGAATTCAAAGCAGAGTCTCATCCTCCCGCCTCTGTTTTCCGAACCAACACTAAGCAGGATTCCCCAAGCTGCTTCATCACTCCCTGCTATTCTGGGTCCAGGACGTTCTCCGGCCTCACGCCGGACTCCGGGTTCCCCTCTCTGGCTGAGCTGTTCTTTGCCAGCCACTCGGAGAGATCGACTCCTCGCGCGGCAGGCAGCCCCCCTCGCTCTCACACTCATCCCGGGCTGCGGCGTGGGGAAGTGGTAGGGGAGCCACTAACTCGCGGAAAACTTCCTCTCGGGAAGTGACCTGGGGTTTTCCGGCTTCCCCCCGCCCTCCCGCGCTGGGCCACACGGCGATCGTTAAAGTGGTGCGGCGACTAGCGCAGGTTCTGAGCTGCAGAGACCCGGGGCGCCCCACTGCAAAGCTTCCCCGGCAAGGACCGGCGCCCTCTGCCACCGAATGCGCCCAGGACGCGGCCGCCGCCGGCCCGGGGCTGCTGGCGGGGCACCGTCAGTGCCGGCTGACTTTGCGCCACGATGCTTTGTTTTCCTGCCGCAGGAACCTGAGGCGGTCTCTATCCACCAGACTTAACCTGCCCGCAGCAATAGCCATGGAACTTGCGGCCGCACTGAGGGAGAAAGAACCGCTTGGCGCGGCATCTTTTTTGGATGTTTTTTCTCAACACAGTCCACTTCTTTCCTCCTTCTTGGGGTAAGTGGAATCTAGTGCGTAGTAACGAAGGGGAAGAACTGACGATGGTGGAGTGGGATTGCAGTAACACAAAAGGTTAATGTGCCAAGTTGTTTTTCTTGGGGCGTTGGGGGGGTGCTCTCCCTTTATAACCCCACCCCCCGCAGTCCATTCCACATACGCAGTTTAGGAGTTGGGACTTGATTTCAGGCGCGTTAGCGGTGGGGGTGCAGGGATGACTTACTTAATTTTTGGTGGATCCCTACCCACTTGTGTTGTCCACATACTGAGAAGAGACAATGAAAGTGGAGGAAAGAGAAAGCCCTAGAGGTTAGGGCTGGGGGGTGGGGCGAGTGATTTAGCAGAGAAATCCTAAGGGTTCTGACTAGGGCAAGTCCTCAACGCACATCAGGCATTCCAGACCCCTGATCCCGCTCCCTCATCCCAATAGGTCCATCCCAAGACTTCCTAAAACCATCCTGCTGATGCTTTTCTGGGGGAAGGTTCTCCACGGGCCCAGTGTAACTTCTGAGGAAAACCTACAATTATCTCATCCGCAAGACCTGCTCAATGCATGTTTGCTGATTGACTGAATGATGTACCCAAAGGCTACATTTTGTGCCATGGGAATTTGCCTCTGATAGTGAACTAATTCCCTGAGGGAGGCCTCAGGGCACCAGGGTAGCCCAATTCATTCAGCAAAGGAGGAAGGGGTGGAGTCCTAGATAATATAGTATTTGGATCATCATGACCCCAAAGAACTCATCTGACAGTTTCAGGGTCAAGATTCAGGGACCCAGGGACCAGATGAGCTTCCTTGGGTTTGACTCTCTATGTTGTGACCTTGGGTGTGTTCCTTTACCTCTCTGAGCCTTGATCTTCTCATCTGTAAAATGAGGCCGTGAGAGCTTCTTCAGTGTGACATAGGGAAGATAAGTGGAGAGAAGTATGAGGCTGTGAGGGGCCAGTCTTGCTCCCCTGACCTCCGAGGCTTTGGGAGAGAGGGTGTCTTTGCTAGGGGGCACCTCTCTCTGACTCAGATGCAAGTAAAAACATTGCATTGCAGTGACGGGGTGGAGCCCTCCTGCCTGTGAGCAGTTGAGGAGAGGGCACAATGAGGCTCTGAAGACTGTCTCAGGAGCTTAAAAACAGTTCCCTTGGGGTTTTGGGGCAGAATTGACACGTACTAGTGTCTCTGAGGGCATGGCTGGAGAAGCAGAAGTTCCTTGTTTGTCTCATTTCCATGTCTCATCCATCCTCTCAGCCTTCTAGTAGAGGGAAACCAAGTGTGGAAGTGGAGTCCAGAGAAGGTGGCTGTCAGGTGTCTTGGGAATCTGTGTCTGCAGGGCTGAGGAGTCCAGAGAGCGCCATCAGACTGGTACCAGGTGTGCCTGGCTGGGGTCTGCAGATACTTCAGTGCTCTGGTCCCAGCAGCCTGCAGGGTCAGTGACAAAGCACTTAGCAACCCTTCTTGCAGATGACAGTGGACCTCTTGTAGCTCTTGCTCTGGGACTCAGAAACCTGGATGTGACGGTGGGGGGAGGATGATAAGAAAGATGCCACTGTACCGGGGCTCCCAGAAGCCTCAAGGTGCCCTAGAGTGGCATGCACCCAGAGTGCAACTGCCAGTGTAGGGTTTTAGGGCCACAGCGGGCAGGCTGGGCAATAAGCCAAGTAGTCACTTACTCTTTCATAAGTAAGGGCAGAGAGAAATCTAGCAGGACCTCCTGAGGACTAGACAGTAAGATCCATGAAAGCAAGGTCCATATCTATGTCGTTCCTTGCCGTACCACCAGCACCTGGCACAGTGATGGCATGGAGAAGGGGGTTCAAGATATACGTCAAGTGGACAGTGAACGGACAGTAATTTAAACTACTTTCTGTCCAACACTGCTTCATGCAGCTTATGCTTTCATTTAGCAAGTATTTCTTGAACATCTACTATGTGCAAGTCTTTGTTGCTAGGAGCTGAAGTAATTTGTAAGCATCTTTCATATCAGTACTTCGAGTGGCCCATTCAAGAGCATCTCAGCACCACCTGGATCTTCTGGAGATCGAGGCCTCAGTGGGGGTAGGGGAAAGGCGCCAGGTTCAGCCTCTTTCCGGGAACATGTGTGCGGTCCCTTCGCATTTGCCCTTGCAGGGCCCCTGGGCTCCCGGGGCCGCTAGGTCTTGGCAACTCCACTTTCCTCTGGGCCCGTGGCGTGTCTCTCTCCATCCGCCTCCAGGGCCTCCGAGCAGCGGCCCCAGCCGGGCGGCAGGTAGCTGGGGAAGGGACCGGGCTGCGCCTGGGGAGCGAGCTTCCCGGTGAGGGGAAAGCGCGGCCAACGCGGAGCGGTCCCAGAACAAAAGGCTCATGGCTGGCACCGGCCTCCTCCGAGTGCGCTGGGGACGCGGGTTCGGGGCGCAGGCGGGAGAACCGGGCGCGGGAGGGGGCTGGAGTGGAAAAATGAAGTGAGAAAAGAAGGGTGTGTGTGTGTGTATGCCCAGGGCGGAATTGTGACAAGAGGTCATCCCCGAGGCCGAGGTCTGCGGCGGGGCCGCCGAGGCTCTTCCTCCGCCTCCTGCAGCGCCTTCCAGGCAGCCAAGCGTGTCTCCGGCTGCAACTCCGCCGAGCGCGCCGCGGCCGCCTCCACTCCTGCCAGCCCGCCGGCCGGCCGAGCCAGTAAGTAGCGGCTTGCCCAGCGCCGGCTCCCCGCCCAGCCGCGCCCGCCGCCGCGCGCCGCCCCCGCCGCCCCCGCCGCCCCCGCCGCCCCGCGGGCGAGTCCACTGCAGGTCGCGGTTCCCAGCCCTACGCCCCGAGCCCCGCGCGCCTCCGTGGTCCAGCGCCTCCACCCGCCGCGCGCTCTCCCGCCTTGGCGCGGCGTCTGCGGCGCGCTGCGGGGAGGGTCGCTCTCGCCGCGCGCTCCCCGGGTGCCGCGCCACTCCCGCGTCCAATGGCTTTCGGGGGGTGGGGAGTGGGGGGCGTCGCCCGGGGGCGAGGATCCGCGGCCGGGGTGGGGCGTGTGCGCTGTGCGCGGCCGAGAGAGGCTGACGTGCCCGCCGGAGCGCGCGCCCGGGCGAGTGTGTGTGTGCGGGAGTGTGTGCGCACACGCCTTCGGGGGCTGGAGTGACACTGCAGTGGGTTTCTCCCTCGCGCCGGCCCTCCGGCTGCTCAGCCCCCCACCTGCCGCCACCGCGCTTGGGAAGCAGCTTGGCTCTTTTATCTTCCCGAGCCTCCCTCTCCATCCACCTCTCGCCAGTCTTACTTTTCCTTCCACCCAGGGGGCTGCAGCTGGCCTCCCCTCAACCGTTGCCAACACCTAAGCCGTTTCCAGCCTCTCCTTAGCCAGTCTTTCCCATTTATCTTTCTCTGGGGTTCCTCCACGAGCCAGTCCGAGGCTCCCCCATCCTTGGAAATTGTTTTGTTGGACTACTGTACCGAGGCGTGTAAAGCTTGAGGACTTTATTATTATTTTGATTCTTTTCATTTCCTCCCCTCTGGGCAACGGAGCAATGAAATTTCCAATCGAGACTCCAAGAAAACAGGTGAACTGGGATCCTAAAGGTTGGTATTTCCTACTTTTGGCGGCCCTCGCCCTGCCTCCATCTCCTGCGCGCGCGCGCTTCCATGAGTGGAAGCACTCTTGCTCCTGGCGGCGTGTGTCCTGAGGCTGGAAAATGCGCCTGGGAACCGCAGCGCGGGTGGGAGGAGGGCGGAGGCAGCGTGGGTTCCAAACCCAGATAGTGCCTGTCATTACCACATAATCATTGTCCCTCCTGGATTGTTTCAAAAACCTATTTAAAGATACATCAAGCCGGCTGTTTGGCTTGAAATCACACCAAGTGTCGGTATTTGCTTTTGACTTTCTGTGTGCGAGTGTGTGTGTGTGTGTGTGTGTGTGTCCTTTGTTTCTGGTGATCTTTGTCTCTCTGGCAGATGGGTGGGGTGCCTCCCCCTGGACCTGGAGCTGCGCCGCCTGCCCAGGGTGTCCTCAGTGGGAAAGGTTTCCTGGCAGCAAGTGGGGCTCAGATCTGCGGCAATGGTCCCTAGAGGTGGCCCTTCTCAGAGGGCACGTGGAATAATGGAGCCCAGGGGGCCTTTGAAGTCTTCCCTCAATCTTATTACCAAACCAGGCAGCTAGTTTGGCTCGGATCGGAGTAGAAGTGGGAGGGCGGAAGGGTTTGTGAGAAGGGTGGGGCTGGCAAGGGCTGGGGAGGGGGCACGGAGTGTGTCTGCCTGAACAGTAGTGTGGTTTACAAGCTCTGATGAATGTTGGACAGTGTTTCCTCGGCGCAAAAGAGAGCGACTAAGACCGATTTGTATGTGCCTAGCGTTGACCGCCGCCGTGTCTGTAACGAGCATACAGATGTTAAGGCCCCTCCGGAGTGATTGGTGTGGGAACAGAACAAGTTGAAACCAAGTGTCCAGTTTTGACAAGAATTCTTCAGCTCCTCTGAAGCTGGGTCCAGCCGGGCAACACCTCTGTGTGTATTGGGTTAAAATCTGTTTATCTGATGTGTGTAGTAGGTACGTTTAATTTTTTTTTTTACAAGTGCATTCATTCTTTTCTCCAGACTAGAAAAGAGGAAACACACTTATTTGTTGAGTAAATGTCTTATAAACGGCTATTATAGAATGAGGGAAGATGTGTTGCCTATTTCAACACTGAAGCTGTCATACCTTACTGCAACGCAAACCCAATCCAGTGTTGTTGTTGATCTCTGGAAAGTGTGTCTTGGCTTTTTATTTTATTTTATTTTAATTTTTTTTATCCCTGTAAAATGTATTTATTGAATACCTACTACTTACCAAATGCTATCCCTGGAGATATAGTTAGAATAGTATAGACAAAGCCTTCTTTAAGTTTGTGGTGAAGGAGACAGACCTAAATCAATCAATGCACAGAATGGGGCATAATTACATGTTTATGTATGTTTCATGAAGGAGAGCATCAGGGTGTTAAGAAAGTGATAGAAAAAACTGACAAGGATCAGGGAGGGTGAGTAGTCAGGGAAGGTAGTCAGACACTTGTACTGAG